TTCCCCCCCGTTAAAAAAAAAAAAAAAAAAAAAAAAGAAGTAGCTGCTACCTCCGCATTCTTGAAAATCTTTCGACTTGTATTTCCATCATTGGAATTGCCTGAAACATTATATAAAAATTCACTTCTTCCAAATTCATTTTTATAGTAAATATTTTTATTTTCAAATTGATGGTAAATATTTGAATTTTATTACCGTATCCTTGTTTCGGCATATTTACTAACAAGTTCAGTTTTTCTCGGAATTTTTCTTGAATTTCCTTTTTTCTTTGGGAAACAATAGTATTCTCGGCTTCAGTTCTTATTTGCCATCTTGTAATAGTTATTTTATACGACAAGTGTAATATATGTTCGAAGAACCTTATTCTTGCAAGTAATATAGATAAACCGAACTTCAGTGTACTCGGATCAACTTCTCCTTTTCTTGAAAGGTTATTAAAATCTTTTGATGTTGTTCCGCATATGTAACACTTCATGGTCGATACCGTGTTAGTAGCAGCGTTTACATACCTTACCATCGACTATTGTTAAAGTAAGGGTATGTTTTATACATATTGGAGATTCTGTAATTTGGAGTAATCAAATTTTAAAGTAACAAAAGTATCAAATTTTATAGTAAAATATAAAAATATATAAAATTTGTTATTACTGTTTAAAAGTTATTCAAATCGCTTTCTTCTGACCTTCTATTTGAGTCTTAATTAATTGGTCGATTTGTTTCTGCATATAATCTATTTCAAATCTAATAACATCAGGTGTTTCCTGCTCAAATTTGATTCTGATTGGGCGGCAATAGTATGGCAATGACGGAAGCGGATTTTGTCATATAATTTTCTTTCCTACAAAATGAATAAAAATATTTTTCAAGTAGATTATTCCTGTGAACTAAACACATTTAATTTGAATAGATGCATTTACCACAAATCAAGCGCAATGACTCCATTGTTATTTGAAATAATTGAGCATTCGAATCTTCTTTATTTTGAGATTTTTGCTTATATTCCGACTGTTGGGATCCGTCACACCCCCATTTACTAATTAGCTCTAGGTCATGTTCATTTTCTTCTAATATAAACAATTCATCTTCTAAATATTTCATTATCTTTTTCTCTGTGTGGTCCAGCAGGTCTTGTATGTTTACTTCCGCAGAGGTATCCGTAATTCAAAACGCTTCTTCCTTCGGATAACAATCAGGTTTACCGATCTGTAATTTTTTATATGGTGGAAAAAGCTTTAAATCGATCGTCCTAATAATATTATATTGATTACGCGACAAATCTGCATCAAAATATACTTGTAGTGTATTCTTTTGTCTTTTTCTGCATTTAGATATGCCGTTCTCATTTTTTTCGCACTACCTGAAGATTCTCCAATTTCCCTTATTAGCTTAGATGCACCTAATTGTCCAGACATTCTGAACTTAGACTCTGCTGCATATTGTAGTTCTTCCGCTTCTAAGTTGACCCTCATATCTTCTGTCCTCTTTCTTTTGCCACATTGATACAGTTCTGCAAAAGATTTGCGTGGTTGCCCCTGTTATAACTTTTGTGTCTTCTGCGTAATAAGTCTCTTGACTCATCAATGTGGATTCTAAAAATTCGAGCTTCTTATCAAAATTACTATCTTCATGCTGTGTCATAATTTCGTATAATTCCATCATAGAACAAATTTTATTTCTTAACGAACCTTGAAATTAAGGAAAAGTGTCATAAAAAAGAATCTTTTGCTTAGAAGGAATAAAAATAAATACGCCTTCATAAAAAATAAAGAGGCATGGCTAAATTCGAGTATATACTTAATTGGCTCACTCGATGATTCCACAATATTTTTTCAACAAATAAACATTTTAAACTAGACACGCCATTAAACAGTCGGTACACGCCACACAGAGTAAATACTGCATTCGCGAAGGACAGATAACAAATGCTCGAAATGCGCGATTGTTGCATATGTTTCCGAGACGAGGATGTTTGTGTTTCCATTTGTTTCGCGGAGTCGCGAGCGTAATTGACACCCAATACGGGATTATAAAGAACACTCGCACATGCCGAAGCAAGTATATATTTTTGTAATTTTCGCATTGGTAGCCTTGGCAGCTACTTTTTTTTTTTAAATGAAGGTAAGGCTTCAGGCTACAAAATGCAACCAAAGCGAACCCTGCATCCCACTGCATTCATAATTAAAAAATTAAATGAAAATTGATCACGTTCAATTAGGTATAACTTAAAAAGTAGCAGGTATATAAATACGAAGTTTGGTATAATTCAACTATACTAAGTGGACTTGATTTTGCTACTCATTCAATTTCAAAAAATGATACAATTATAAATGACGATCTTTTTTTCGGATGATTTCGAGATGAACCACTTTAAAGTCCTCTACTCTAAATATACAAAATTGATAAATGTTAAAAAAAATAATACAAAATGATGGCTCACATTCTTAATTAACTATATGTGAATACATTCTTCACTATAGAAATATAAAAAAAAAAGACTTTTTATTGCGTTTGGTATGCGATAGGCCCACTGTGCGGCGTAGCACGCAATTTAATTAGCTTGGTTGTCTATTTATCCTATTGAGTCAGTCGAGGTGCTATCTGTGGCATTCCGGTCCGATCTCGCGAACTTTATGCTTTATCCAACGATTGAACTACATACAGTGACTCGCATTAATATTCGAGTTATACATGATATTATTAGGAGAATTATTGCTCCGTTTTATTGTTTATGATAGTATTATTGAATCAATTGTTTTTTCATATAATAAAGCATTTCTTAAAGTAGAATCAAAAATTTTGTTTATTTACGTCACAAAAATATTCGGACACAACATCTTAGATGCCAGAGTAAGATACTGTACTACATTGACGACGTTGTTAACACATATTGTTTATAAACACAACATCTAATTCGTTGCGAGAATTCAGTATCAGAGAAAGTATTGATGATATCAGACGTTTTACTTGTGAAAGTGGGACGAAAAGGAAGAAATACGTCTTTTGAAATCGGACAATTGGTTATTTATCACAAGGAAAAGGGAAAATCATATAGAGATATAGCACGGATATAGTGTGGAAGATATTACACGTCGGTACATTCGTGAGGATTGAATCGATTTAATCCTTCATTAGATCCTCGCGACCAACGCAAGATAATAAGAAAAGTAAAGAAAGATTCTGAACAAAATGCTACAAAATTAACAAAAGAGTTGTTCGTAGAATCTGGGAAGAAGGTACACCCGAACACAGTGCGACGGGTATTAAAAACTTATGATTACAACGAAAAAGTTCCTCGTAGAAAGCTGTATGTGAATGATGCAAATCGCAAGAAAAGATTGAGCTTTGCAAAAGAATATTTTTACAAAGACAACTGATGGTGGAATGATGTAATATTTTCGGATGAAAACAAATTTAATCTTTACGGATCCGACAGTCAAAAAATACAGAATTAAATATTTTAAATTTAAAACCGACAGTGAAACATGGTGCTAGGAGTGTAATAGTGCGGGATTATATCTTATCTGTACGTGTAGGTGAACTAGTTTTTATCGATGGTATTATGGACAAAATGAAGTATTTGGAACAAAAGTATTTAAACAAAATTTATGTTTCTACTTACTATAAGAAGTGCTGTATTATATGAGAGAAAAATTGATTCAATAATACTATCATAAACAATAAAAGGGAGTAATAATTTTTCGAATAGTATTGATATTATTAATATTATTATTATTGTAATCCGAATATTGATGCGACTCACTGTATATGTTTCAGAATATTGTTTGTCTGCAATTTAACAATAATTATCAATCTCTTAATAAACTAATCAGATAATTTAAATTACATGTAATTTAAAATCTATTACTTTTTATCGTTCTTTGGGGCAAAGATGTGAAAAAGTGAGCAGTAATCTTTTTTAAAATCGTTCACTGTATTTGATTTTAACGTTACTTACGTAAAAATCTTATTGTTAGTTCTTATACCGTCTTTCGAAACTAAATAGTATTATCTAATGTAAAATAATCTCATTTGTTGCCATTAAAATGTCAAAGAAAAGAGGAAATAAACAAAAGGAACGTTAACGCTCAGAATGAGCTGGTGTTGAAATAAGATATACGCCGGTCCCTGGGGGACCGGCCGCAGACTTTAGGTTCATATTACATGATCGCGCGTGTCGGTCCTTACGCACTGACGTGAGACTAAATATTTTGCTTAGGGGACATCGGTTTTTGTTCAGTCAAGGCTTGAAAAAAAAGAATATAATATTTTTAAAAAGTTAATGTAGTTTATTAAAACAGGGTAAACAGAGGCGTGGTTTGCTTTTGCATTCATTGCAGAAGGTGCTAACTTTTTTTCTTGAATTATTTGCCATCTTTGAACCTAATATTCGGGAATTATTATTATAACACTAGACGCAGTATCTCCGAATTTTATGAGCAGTGCCTTCCTTTTTCATCAAATGATGCCGAGGTTTTGTTCTGCTGTCAGCTTCTTCGTCCTTGCGCTGTGTGAGTGCCTGGATCAGCTTTTTCCGATATTCTGTTATAGATATTATCTGGCCTGTTGTTTCTCGATATATAAAAAAAGAATTTACAATGGCTGTGTTCAACAGAAGTTCGAGTGCTAATTTTTTGTACCACTTCATTGATTTTTGCAATGGGTTGCTGTATGCGGTCATTTGATCCGAAAGGTCGATCGATTTTTTTCCCACGTTGTAATCAATTACAATTTTAGGTTTATGGAATAATACGTCACGCTTTTCCTTCCATTTTAAAATCGTGATTCCTTCCCGACTTTCTTGTGCAAAGCACTCTCCCCGTTTCAGTTTTTTGGCCACTACATCTTTCGGATTGCCTTTCCGATTGTTTCGGAGAGTACCCATCAAATGCGTATTCCGTTCCAGGAGTTGTTTCGCTAAAGTTAAGCTTGTGTACCAATTGTCCGTACATACTGTGTGGCCTTTGTGAAATATGTCTTGGCACAAATTCATAACCGTATTTGTCGGCGTTGTGTTGACTTCATCTGACACTTTCCCACTGTAGACACGGAAGTTGTACGTGTATCCCAATCTGCAATCCGTGCACGAAATAGGACCATGGATTGGTCAACACAGACAAGTTCTGTTGGATTGTAATACTTTTTGAAATTTTTGTTGAGCTCATCTAAAATTGGCTGTATTTTCCATAAGCGTTTGGTGACATCTGCTGTAGGATTGTTTGTGAAATGCAGCATTCTCAAAAGTATTTGGAAATGATTTCTGCTCATTATTTTATGGGGAAACGGATGATAATATACAGGATCCGTGGACCAGTATAAACTTGTACCTAGATATTTTATGAGTCCCATTCAAATAATGAGCTCAAAAAGGCGCTTGATCTCTTCCTTGTTGGTAAGGACCCACCGCTCTATACGCTTCGAAGTCATCATCGATTGCTTTTGTGTTGCGTACATATTCGTCTGTTCACTCATTTCTTCAAGCATTTCTTCAGTGACTAATAACGCATAGAAGTCTTCTATATTGACACAATTCTGCAGTTCTATGTTTCTTGTGTCAACACCGTACACACTCGTGAAGGTTGTGATTTTCGGTTGATTCCCTCTCGGATCAAACCACTCTTGATCTTGTGGTATATCGTTGTGTATATGCACATTCTCTAATGAAGTATCGTCTTCGGATGAGAGCAAAGCACGGCGACGACGATTTCTAGGCGGCAAAATTAATTCGCTCGATGTATCACTTTCTGATCCACTCAACATTTTTAGGGCGATAAAAAACTTTGAATTTATGGTGAACAAGAAGACTGGTAGATCTACTATAGTGAATGAGACTGAACTGTGACTTCTGTGCAACTGAGGTTTCGTTAGACATCCAGGTATCGTTTAGCCTCGCGTTTCGTTTTTGTATCATCTGGCAAGAAGTGGAGATTTTGGGAAAACTCAAGATGTGAATACAAAGAAGGGTTTATTGCAATTGGAAAAGGTCAGGCACTTTCCCAAGGCGAGGGTGAGGCTCCTCTCTAAGTGGAGAGGAGGACCCTCGGTAGAGAAAATTCCGGTCCTCAGGCCGATATTTCGGCTCGTCCCTCAGCGGTGACGGCCGCGTCTGGGCCTGAACGGAACGGCAAGCAAATCGGGCTGGGCACTTAACGTGTTAAAGAAAAAGCAGGGTGTCGAGGGACAAAAATACGTGGGCATTCGTGGACGCTCCAAAGCAAAAAATGTAAATAAATGTGAAGCATTGCTTTCATCCTTACGCTGTGATATCGAATTAATAATAAAATGAATAATATTCAAATCAAATTCGTTATTTGATTATATCGGACTGCCGCAATTAAGTAAGTTATCGTGTGATAGCAAAAAAGTTCGGTGTTTCCAAAAGTAAAGTAGAAAAAATGTATAAAGAAATACTTAGTACACAAAACCGTTGAAAATGTAAAGAGTCGCGGACATAAACGTTGTACCACCGCGAAGGAATATCGACGAATTGTCAAAAGTGTCGACGAAATCTAAGAATCGCATCTCGAAATGTTGTAGAAATATTAAAATTAAATATGTTATCAAAAACAGTATGACCTACAGTGTCAGGACAAAAAGATAGCACGCTTAAAAATAAACGTAAAATTTATTTATTTAACACTACAGCCAAGGATTTGTTTACCCGCTGTCACCGACTTCCGAACCACAGTCGAGGCCTGGGTTTTTTGGCAGTGAAACGTCGACTGCCGAACGAACGCGTCGAATAAACAATTGTTCGCGAACGCGTCGCATAAACGATTATCCGCTAACGCGTCTCAGACATCCCTCGTGATATCCACAAGTGTTTCGGATTACCAGTGATTAATTAAGTGATCAGTGTTTGGTGACAGTCCAGTGAAAGATCAGCTGTACGTTGTACGAGGTCAGTGCCCTTCGACATCGTGAGCCACAATTCCAACCAGCAAATGCATCCTCAACTAAATGGGTGAGTTTCTTATTGATAATAATTTTCATATTTCTCTAATAAACAAATCCTTTACGTTTCTTAACACGATCATTTATTATTAAATCAACTTTGCTAATCATTCGTTAATCTTCACTGTACACCTTGTATAAAAATTTCATATGGTACACATGAGGTTTCATGCAC